TTACTCTGAAAATGTAAGCTGTAATTGCATTAGATTTCGAGATATTCAGTTAGATAACGTTAACTAAGATTTTCTGTCTCCAAGATTTCGTGACAAATTAAAACTAATCTATTAAAGAACATGCATTTTGTGAGTATTTCAAGCCTTTGGATTTGATTCGATACCTTATTATACTATTATTATTATTGTAGTTTTATGATGTATATTAACCAATTTTTTCCACTACTGAGGAGTATTAAGATACAATTCAGTCTCACACCATTATTTTACATACTTCTATTTAATTTTATTCAGCATAGTAAAGCAATAAAGGAATAATTGATTTTTTCTTTTTATTCCTAAAAAATTTCCCTTGTACTAATTTGTAAAAGGAGATGAAAAGAAAACAAAAATAATAAACAGAATAAAGCTAATGAAAACTAGGTCAATTCTTATATAAATCTGATCGAAATGTCCCATTTTTCTTCTTCTTTTCCTCTCCATCTCTTTGAATTTATAATTTTATTCTGTTTTAATCAACCTTCTATAAGTTATGTTATTTGCTTCAACTTTTCAGATAGCTTATAACTTAGAAAGTGAGCAAGATCGATGAGTTTCCATCTGTGTGGTTATATGTATGGAAATGTACATTCATACATATTTAAAAAATATTTCCAGTTGGGTTACGACAAACTGAATCCAAGTATTTTCATTGAAGCTTTCTATTGTGAAAAATTTCAAGCCAATGAATGAGGAAAATAAATTAGAATTTAGTATGTATTTCATTAAAACCATGAAGCAAGCTTTCTTGAAGCACTAGACGGGCGTTTTGTCCTAGCATTTGACTCGTCAATAGTCCGCATCCACGTCCTTGTACGCGAGATTCGAACACAGGACTTCGACTTCACGTGTAAATGTTCAACCTCTAGACCACTTAGTCGGCATCCAATAGTGTTAATATATCACTTCAATCAATCCAAGACATTGCACAAACATCTTCTTCTGGGTAACTACCTCACATGCGACACGGATTAGCTCCGCTGGTCACAGCTTTTCACTAGAACTCCGACAATTACCTTTCGAAGCTAATCATCAATGAGCGTATCATAGTATGTATACTGATAAATTAAACGGTGTTCATTGATATGTATGAGTTTTGAATTATTATAATAAAATTATGTTATTATTATTATAAAATAATAGATATTTTTCACATATTTATTAACTCACTTACTAGGCATGGATCCGAGAGCTTAGCTACAAGTCATGTTGTAAGTGTGGGGTCATAATCCTACTATTCAGCTTTCTCAGACAACAATAGGTGTGACGGGGTTCAAACCTGTGACTTGTTGAATGAAGTTAAAAGCCTTCATCACCAAACCACTTTTCCACGTTCAAAATAATAAGTAATCCAAATCTCTATTTATCCTCATCATTAATCATATAACTTTCAATAAGCAATTAAAAGATTTTAATTTCTTGTTTGTTTTTTAAACCAAAACACAAGGAATTTTGAAAGGGTAATAGTAAAAAAACGAAATATTGAGTTTATAATTCTCATCCTTAGTAAAACGATGATACGTGAAAATTAAACAAGCAAAGAATATGCTCTTTCTACTTTCACCAATTAATTTGATTTTCGGTTTGTACATACGATAACTTACATACAATCTTTTTTTCTTTTTTCCACCTATACTAAATGAATATTTCTGTATTTTCAGAAGCCATTGTGAACACAAATCGGTCTTGTATTTCTTAATGTTTTTAACTTTGCTTGTTGTTAGTTATTTCAGTTTATAAGAAATGATTAAAAGTTCAATAAACTTTGTTTATTTGCTATATTGAAATATCACTGTAAAGAACTAGTAATTTACTGTATGTCACTTCCGCTGACAAATATAAGTAGTATGTAGCTACAATCGAAATTGGAATGCCTGGAACCAGAAGACTAAATTGAATATAATAGAAACAAAATCGGAGAGTAATCAAAATAACGACAGAATTAAAGGAAGTAGATAATGAACAATGCAAAGAAGATGCGCAAATAATATATTTACTGTTTGATTTCCATATTTTGCTAAGCAACCGTGTGATCAATACATAAAACAACAAATTAATTGTCCCCATATGAGTTTCCATTCACTACAACACCAGTTTTGTTTTGAAAGTATGTTTTAATTATACACTAGCTATTTTTTACATAACCATGGATTCCTGCTGTAGAGTCAGTAAATTACTTGTCAGATATCGCAATAGTTAAAGACTGCTAACTTATTCTTTTAATCATATTTTGGAATTTAAAGTATCTTTTTGGAATACTTTATCATTTTCTTGAACTTCCATTATTTTTTATTGCCGAAACTTTCTTCATCAATCCACTTTATCTTGATCATCCCAAAACTATTTAATAACATAATTAAGTTGAATCAAATAATTATGAATGATGTAATTTCCTTACAATATGGAGACTCTAAAACGTTTAGAAAACGTTGACAAACGCACTAGTGAATAGATGTTTTTTCTAATGTGTGCCGATAACTGAACATTTTGTAAATGTGCATCAAAATTAACACGGAAATAAATAGATGTTAAAATACGTAATGGCTCTCATTATTTTCTGTTTAGCAACAGATGTGATCAGATGAATGTAAGACAGATAAATAAAGATGTCGATTGAATGCATTGAGCTGCTATCTAAAAAAGGTAGGGCGTGGTGTGCGCTAATCATACGAACAGATATAAGTAGTATGTAGCAGGAATTGGAAGAAGGAAAGCAAATAGTAATCAAACTAACAACGGGATAGAAAGAATGATGGGTACGCAAAGGATAAGTGAGAAAAGATAAACAAATTATGTATCTAATGTATGAGTTCATATTTTAGAAAGGCGCTATGTGACTATTCGTTGTGCAAAGATTGTACACGAAGAGTTGAACTGTTCCATTTCCACTGAAAGTACAATAAACAAGACTTGACTAAATTTGGGTGTCAATGCAAAATTCTCCATCTACTTATATTTTATCTTGTGTAAACTATGTTACAGAGATAGATTTGATATTTTTAACAAATTAATTGAATCCCTTCTAAGTTATACCCGGAGTTTCACAGAGTTATATTAGAAATTCTTTGTATTTAAATAAATCATCTGTTAATCCTAGTGAATAACTTGATTCAATGTAAAGTTTGAGCATGAGAAAACTTACCGTTTTTAACCAGGATTTAACCGGACCATGAAGCTTGATTCTATGATGAATCAATTGAACATGGTAAAGTGATCTTGGTAGTGGGCGTGACTGCGATGTGAGGGACAAAAGATAACAACGCTAAATTTAGAAAATGTAAATGTTAATATCGTATATAAGGTAATAGAAATTAAATAAACGTAATCTCAACCAATAAACAGTATTGTGACATGAAATCTGTTTAAGAATACCATAGAATTGTTTTTATCGGACATACTAGAAACTTAATGATGTTTTTAAATTCTTAAGACCTACAGAACTATATTAAGTTCAACGTTGTTTAAATTTTCTTTAAATCCAGTTATTACTTCTTTCAATATATTACTCAGTTTGGAATGAACTTTGTATGATTTTGTAATGGAATTCTGTTTTGCTTCACTACAAAGTATTGTACATATATAACGAATTCCTACTTAAGTTTCGTCATTAAACAACAAACAGACTACATTGAAATACAAAGTAAACATTTGTTCAACTTTTAATGTCAGTAAGTAAGAGTTATTCTACTTTTATCGTCCGATATATTTTTTCTGTAAACATTAAAAACACAGCTCTGTTATATCCATTACCATTTGTTTGTTACTTTGTGTAGAATACAATTGGTCTGTATATCAAATATTATCAACCAAACAATAAAATTTGAACTGATCCCTTTACCTTCCTCTACAACTGAAAAATTACGTACTTTGTGACATTTACTGTTTGAAGTATCTTCTAAATGTATGAAGGTGATATATGATCAAGTTGGTGTGTTGCTATACCACTAAAATGTTAGAAGTTATGTGTGAAAAATAGTTCGAAAAATTGTCAAATACTTTTATAATTTCAGCAAAAAATTGTTCCGTTGAATACCTAGAATTATTGAGTTTTATTATTTTAGGGAATGAAATCATAAAGTCACACAATAAAATGTTAATTTTGATATGTAGCTTTTTACATTAATTCTTCTGTAGTTAAAATTATGATGTGAACAACTTTCTAACTCAACCTGGAGTCCATTGGGAGAATTTTTTAAATCTCACTGCAATTCTGAAATATAGAGTTAAGTGTCCTTGAAGTTACGATATTAAGTTACATAGTATTCATACTGTGTTCGTTATAACTGACATAAAAGTAGTCGCTACAAAACATTGGTCAGACCTAATTTGTACTGCTAACTCGCAAACACAACGCTTATGATTGATAATCCAATATCCTGACCTATAGGTTAATGAATAACATTTTAATGTTTGATGAATGAAGTAAACCTATTTTGCTACGTTTACTGCAATTTAACTCATTCTTGAAGAAACATTGAAGTTCTGAAATTTTTACCTGTTCATCAATTTACTGTTAATTTATTTTTACGCTAAATTTTTGTGAACAACCTAAATAAGTTTACTCAGTAAACTCAATTACTTATACTCAAATACATTTGAGCAAAATGTTAAGATTACGAGTGAACTGATAAGTTCGTTAAATGGAAGATCATGTAAAGTAGGATTATTTTTGTGATCAAATAGTTACTTGCACCCATTCATTGCGCAACTACATTTCATGCTCACACAATGATCTCAGAGGCTGAAAGTAACTTGTATATTTTACATACTGATAAACAAGCTTCATAATATATGGGCCAACTGAAGCTGTAACCTTTATTTAAAAGTAATTATGATGGGTAGTTAGACATACTTAGTTAACCAATCACAAATTAGGCTGTTTGGTCGATTCAACTTGTATTTAATAAAGATAACATATTAAACAGAAGGAATAAGCAGATTGGCTGAAACAGATTTGATAATGAAGATGAAAGTAAGCTAGTTGAATTTCTACATTCGGATAAGTTGGGTAAAATGGAGATTTAGTAAAGCAGAACTTCACCTTTTGGAGAAATGGATTTAAAATATTGTTTTATATTACTGTTTGGTATCATAAATGAGGTACTACAAGTCTCAGGAATTGCACCTAAAGGTCATCCTAGAGGTAAGTGATTACACAAATTTATAATTGTGCTGCATAGATCAAACAGAGGGCATTTAACAGCATTTTTTTCTTTTAAATGAATATATCAATACATTTTTTTTGTTCGTGAAGCTCGTGATGTCAAAATATTAGTCGACATAACTAACAAAGTTCCAAAAATTTCATATGCAATCCATACATAATGTTTGTTTAAACCTAAAATACAACGTTATGGTTGTTTTCTAGAATAAATCTGATACATCTTTGCTTGTAATGCTTGTGAACTGAGACAATATCAAGGCAATACGCACACTATGCACATATGCCAATAAGAGACTGATAAATTTCAGTCGTAAACATCAGTAGGAAGATTCAAGTAAACAATTCCAAGTGAATTTAAAACTGATAACTTTGAATTAAACTTTATAGTACTTTGATAGGTGATATGCTTGGATATACTGCTTTTTGAAAGTGAATGTTTATCACAATCAGTGTATCTTTACTCTCAGGCGGAAATGAATTGATCGGTAGTAAATAATGTTGAGGAAAAAGTCAAAAACAGCTATGCCATACTGAAGGCAAAGAACTGGAAAACCAGATGAAAGGAATTCTGATGACATCCTGTATTAAGTCTGCACAGTTGTTTTAACAGTTATTTGGTAGATATATTAGTCTTTTTCCAAAAAGAGAAGTCATCTTCATAAAGTGCTTAGAAATTTTATTTTTACCCTAAAATGCCCTGGTACTACTGAAAGTGGGGAGAGTCAGCTCTCCCACTCGAAATGCTCTCAAATGGCCACGCGTACGCAGCCACTGCCAGAGAAGTCCTGCTCACTGCCTTCTCACGGCAAGGGTGTTGTTTACGAAATTGAGAGAACGAAAAGTGAATGTCCATCGCCTTGACCGGGTTAGTGGATACGGAGAGTTCACCTAGGGGAGTTAGAAAACCCTGATTCCAAACCAATGTTGCACATGGGCTCCAATATCGTAAGGGAACAAATGGAGTGTGAGCCAATTGTTGATCACCGGCTACCATGGGACTGCATCTTCTGACGTTGCTGCAATGCCTTGTTGATTAGACCTTTAGGTCAAAGATTTAGAGTGTGACTTCCCAAGGAAACCACCTGTTTCAGTTTGTGCACCCGGGCAGTATCCCAGCCCTCACACAAACCGAATGCTTTATGTGACGCATATGCATTTGGTGCTCCCTTGTACCAATGTTTGTGTTTGAATGATATAATAATAGGAATGGCCTAAAGATCAAAGAAAAATGGTAAAATATGTTGATTCAAGGATCAGAGTTCTAAAAAATAACTGTCCATTTGAGAAATTCGAAGGATATAAGTGGTATTGGAAAACGGGGGTTGATTATAACAACTGACAAACAAATTTGGAAAATTTAAAGAGGGTGGTAAAAACAGACTAATCTGAAGTAAACTATGTAGACGATCTTGAGACTACCAATGAGATTGAAAGTGGCACTTGTTAGCTTCTAGCATATAGTTCAAAACGCAATACCAGATAGTAGTAACTTGTCAAGAGCTAAAACTTAACAAAATTTATGGATATTTCCCTACTTATATGCTGAAACTTTAGTTGTAATGAGACTAAAAACCAGGAAGAAATTTGAATAGCTCTTGAGACTACAATCCTAAATTATTATTTTTAAGAAGAAACAGTAAGAAACGAATGGATCTAATATGGATAACATGCTAACGGGATTTTAAATTCTTTAATGTTACCTGAAAGTTTTTGGAGAAGCTTTGCACCTAATCGAAGTACTAAATAGATTTAAGTTAGTGTCTTGCGGATATTTGGGCGTAGTCCATTCACCTATATAATAAGATAGTAAGAACGCTTTGTATCCAAGCCTTTTAACCCTAACGTTCCCATTAAAGCTGGTATCAATTCATTATGAAGGCCCTAATCTTAATTCCTATTTCTTAAAACTAATACCAACTTCAAACCCTAATTCTAAACCTCAAAACGTAGTCCCAACTTCTAACCCTGATTCTTATCTCGAGCTCTTAAGCCTAACCCATTTTCTTCTTCCGTAAGAAATAACACGTGAAAAAGGTTCATTATATATGTCAAAACTTCATATCCTTTGCAATTTTTTCAATTTCTTATTGTAAATTGCTTAATAAACGCACAGGGCCTTCTGATCGGTTAAGATGTCACCTGAAATTTTCAAGGTCGTTAATATGGTTTATTTCTGCACTGATTATCATAGAATTTATGAAGGATGTAAGGACTATGACTGAATGAGAGTGTTGCTTTTTCAGGAAATGTTTGATCTGAAACTGTTGAATCACTAAGACTTCTAGTATACACAGGATACTTTTTCGAGCTCTTTTTGAGCCATGTAGATCATTTGAATGGATAATTTTGGTGTAACTTAGTGATCAGTATCGACGAGATGATTTAGAATTGTGCGGTTGATAATTTTCCATCTACCATTTAAAAACCATAGAGGATGTTACTCGAGAATGTATGCGTTGTGAGCTCGATATAACTTGCTCCTCAAGAGCAAGTTAGCTTATAGATGAACCTTAAAAAAGACCAATATAATCTTGATCAGTCGGTTAATTGATGTACCATCATCTCGTTAGGAACGTATCATCAAGTGTAATGTTGTTTACTAATTATTAAATAAATCGTTGAGTTTATAAAATCTTGGAGAAAAGCTAGGCGAGAGAGCGAACAAGTTATGTTTTCTCAAATCTGTATATTGATCTTAGTGTTAACATATATGACGTTCATGATCGCTTTTAACAGAAACAACTTGTACACGCTCTGTATCCTTCCAGATGTTTTTACGTACAAACCTTTTTGAGGGTTCATTTTGTAATTTAAATGTCAGACTTTGTACTCTGATTATTAACAATGTCAAGTATACCAGGCAAAACCATTCCTAGGAATATACTACTAACTGATATATATTCTTGGTTGCGAATATTTATTAGCTAAATCGACATGATAATTTTTTTCTTCTGGAAACCAGAAATTTGTTTACATCACTTGAATTCTCAGTCAGTCAGTAACAACGTAGAACTTCGCACGTACGTACATCAGTTCGAGTTGCCACACCACATTAGCACAGAGATGCACTTGTCGATTCAAATCCCGTAGTGGTAGAGGTAATAAGAGTATAAGCAGTAATCGGGAAGATTAGGGTTTGGAGATGTTATTTAAAGAGTATAATACAGTGAAATAAATTTGGAAAGAGGAAAAAAGGGACATGAAGAATTCAGAAGATTAGAATTTGGGAGAACACAAAAGTGGATGCACCTGCGACATTGCAAACGATTTTGAGCCATGTCATTCAGGGTCTCTAACCATCGGTTGCTGTCATCTCGCGGTCCCCAACCAGGTAGTCTACACCTACCAACATGACTCAGTTCATTTGTCAGTGACTTCATGGACTTGTGCCATGTTTTGGTTTGGCCGCCCCTAGCTTTCTTCCAACCTACTCCTATACCACTGAACATAGCACGTCGAGGCAGTCGGTCGTTGGGCATACGTAACACGTGTCCCAGCCACCTCAACTGATGAAGTTTCACTACGTCATCAATTGATTTGCCATCCTTACCTAGTACCCGTTTCCTAACAACTGTGTTACTTACTCGATGGTCCCATGATATACGAGCAATGTTTCGAAGACACCTATGATCAAATACTAGTAACCTACGGATATCCTCTACTCTTACCGGCCATGTTTCACTGCCATAAAGTAGGACGGAACGAACTGCTGCACAGTAAACACGTCCTTTGGTTGATAGACGGATATCTCGCCTACTCCATAAATGACGCAAGGTGGCAAAAGCTAGTCGAGCCTTCTGTATCCGTGCTGAGATTTCGTCACAAACCAGACCACAAGGGCTGATGAGACTTCCAAGATAAGTGAAGCGGTCGACACTCTCAACTACTTCACTCCCTATCACTAGTTCGGGTGTCGATGCAACCCAATCCTGAAGCAACATTTCGCATTTTGAGGGGGAGAATCGCATCCCGAACATGCTTGCATTGTTGCTTAGAGTGGTCAGAAGACTCTTCATTTTGTCAGCGTCTTCACTAAATAAAACTATGTCATCGGCATATTCTAAGTCAACAAGTGGACCTCCCGGTAGAAGTTCAACCCCTGTAAATTTAGATGAGGAGAGTGTTATCTCTAAAAGTACGTCGACCACAAAGTTGAGCAAGAATGGAGAGAGTGGACAGCCCTGACGAACACCACTTGAGGTAATCAATGCTGATGACAGTTCGCCATAAGCTCTCACTCTACCAGTTGTGTTCGAGTAGAGAGCCTTTATAAAATTAATGCACTTCTTTGGTACTCCTTTCAGTGACAAACACTGCCATAGAACCTCACGATCAATAGAGTCGAATGCTGCCTTAAAATCGAGAAATACTACCATTGTGGGGCGTCTGAATGTGTGTCTGTGTTCTAGAACCTGACGTAGTGTGAATATCTGATCTATACAACCACGTCCAGGTCGAAAACCAGCCTGGTTTTCTCTAGTCTGCTCTTCACGAGCTTTAGTTAGGCGTCGAAGTATTATTGAAGCTAATATTTTAGACACTATATTAGTCAAACTGATTCCTCTGTGATTGTCACAAGAGGACTTTTGTCCTTTCTTATAGACTGGCACAATCAGTGATTGAGACCAGTCAGATGGGATTACGTCCAGTTCCCAAACTCTACCTAAGACCTCGGTTAATCTCATTGCTAATACTGGACCACCATCCCTAAAAATCTCAGGAGTAAACCTGTCAGGGCCTGCTGCTCTCCCTCGCTTCAGATTTCCTATGGCTTTTTCAACTTCGTAAAGGGACGGAGGACCTACATTAACTTCCCATGCAGATTGACTGGAGATCGCGGGAAACCGAAGTGTGGCTGAAGGCCAGTTGAACTGATCCCTAAAGTGTTCTGCCCATCGATCCAATCTCCTGGATTGAGAATGAATAATATGCCCATCTTTCTCGGAGATTGTTTCGCTAACGGTCGGGTTCCTAATTCCGGTTTCCTTAACGAGTCTAAACAGTTGTCTGCTATTACCTATTGCCGCTGGCTTTTCCATCTCTCTTGCTTTTGCTACCCACCACTGTTCGCGATCATTGCGTAGACTTCTTGTCAGCTTGCGCTTAAGCTGACTCCGCTCTTCATTATGTTCAGAGCCAGGTGGAATGAGTTTCCGAGCATCTATCAGTGAGATAGATGCTGCTGAGATCCAGTGTTGCTCCCTAACCTTCTGGTTTACCTTGCTAGCAGATATCACTGCTGTTTCCACAGCTTTTCGGATATCATTCCATGCTGCATCGGGGTGGGCATCACTTACATGGCTGCCTGTTTTCCTAGTTGTTCCTGAAATATACTCTTAGCTTGACTATCATTAAGTAGGCCCCTAAGAGGTTTCCTTGCAGCGTCTTTCCTACGTCCAGTAAGACGCAAGCAAATACGCGCTCGCACTAGAGCATGATCTGAATCTAGGCATGTGCTCCAGAATGAGCGACAGTCTTCTATCGAGCCCCTCCATCGGTGGCTGATAGCGATGTGATCTATTTGGGTCCAACGTTGGGACGAATTAGGGGGTCGCCATGTTAAAAGATGTTTATCCTTATGCTTAAAGTTAGTATTTGCAAGGAACAGGCGGTTATCTGAGCATAGATGCAACAGACGGTCGCCATTATCTGTTCTTTGAGCCACGACACCATAGGATCCACCTAGGTGTCTTTCCTTATCGCTTAGTTTACCTACTTGAGCATTAAAGTCACCGGCCACTATTATTACATCCGAGCGCTTAGCTTTTCGGAGAAGGTCCGAAAGCTTTCTGTAAAACTCATCTTTTACATCATCTGAGCTGCAGTCAGTGGGAGAATAGGCAGAGACGACGAAGAGGCAACGACGAGTGTCCCTATCTTTCCGGATCCTTACTGTTCCGTTCAGTCGGACAGCGCACAAACGATTGTCTACTGGGATCCACTCTAAGAGAGCTAGTTCTGCCCTAGGACTCAATGCTATACCTACGCCGGCGAGGCCACGGGAAGCAGAATCAGGGCTTCCAGATACACGAAGCGTAAATCGAGTCGGTTCTTTATTTTGGTATGGTGAGGTCAAATGAATGACGCTACTCGGATCCTGTATGCGCGTTTCGGAGACGCAGCACACATCGATGGCGCGGGATTCTAAAGTTTTAGCTAATGAAGCCTGCTGTCCTATTTGGCAAAGTGTTCGTACGTTAAAAGCTCCTACGTGTAGTTTAGAGCGTGGTTTCAGGACACCAGGAATGGCGTTCCACGTACTCGAATCGTTTGCCCTAGCGGTGCGAGGTGATAAAGAGACGTGAGGAGGGTTAGTCGGGGAGATAAGAGAGGTATTAGGAGGTGTAGGAAGGATTTGAATGTGACCACCTTGGTCTCTTGTGCTGTTACGGGTATGAGGGCTGATGTCACTTCCTGGTTAGTCATTTAAGGTGATTAATGATTGGTGAAATCAAGGCAATTATTTGTATGATTCAAAACTTCAAATGGAAAGCGTGGATGTAAATGAAATTGCGTGAAGCTACATAAATGCAAAAGTTTATAAAAGAGAGAAAAATTTAGTTTGCTGCACATAGAAGCTATCTAATAAAGTAGGGCGTTAAGATGTAAATTATAATATGTTTCGTCCTTCGTACTTCGTTAATTAATTTTTTTAATTAATTAATTAATTAATCTTTTTAAATTTGCAATACTGAATCACTTTCTAGTTCATTTAAATTCTACACAAAATATCCGTCTTATACGTTTTAAGAATTTTTTGCAATTGTCAACTACACAGCGTTTACTTTCAATAGATTAATCATGAAATATGTGCTTACATTAGTTTTCTTCAGAAATTAAAGACATGATCCCCATCAGTAAAGTCTACCTTTTGTTTTGATAGTATGAAACCGAAGATAGATCCCGCAGAATACAGGACATTGAAACCACTACTGTTGTCCGCTCCTTATTCTTTCAGTTAATTGATATGGACATTTGTTCAGCTTTGCTTATTGATCTGAGGAATTAATTCCAGTCATCATCAAATATTATAAGCAAAGGATATTTTAAGCCATGTTAGAAACTAACTGAATTGGTGATAGAAAAATGCAATATTTTCAGGGTAGGATTTTTACTAAAAATACTAAAGCTTCCCAATAAAATTTTGATGTTTACACTACTGCTTAAAATGATCAATTGTGAAACTACATTACTATCTGAGGATGGTTTGGTACATTTCTAAACTTATTCGAAAGTTTTCTAACCGAGAAATAATTTAACAGGCAAATATTACTCTCATCTACTAGGATCACCGAGTAAGTAATAGTGAGGTTAGACGCAGGGTATTGGGGAATGATGGTAAATCAGTTGATGAGGTTGTGAATCTTCATCGACTGAGATGGTTGAGCCACGTGTTACGTATGCCTGAACATCGATTACTACGATGCGCAAGGCTGACTAGTGTTGGGGATGGTTGGAAGAAATTTAGGGGCGACCAAACCAAAATGTGGCATCAGTCCATAAAGTCACTAAAGTCTGGTCTGAGCCATGTTGGTAGATGCAGACAACTTGGTCAGGCTCAGTGTGACTATCGTAACCAATGGTTGGAGACTCTGTGTGACATGGCTCAGAATCGATCACAATGGCGTAGGTGTATACACTCTGTCTTTCCTTAAACTATGAGATTAAAATTATTTCATATTTTTCTTTCTACTAACTAATTCTTTCTACCTTTCCTATATCCTTATATGCAATCTTTCTTTTATATATAACGACCATTGAATTTACTACTTCTATGAATCCGCTGTTCATCTTGCTGTGTTAATGCGGTATGGCAACTTGGACCGATGTATATATGTACTTGGTCCTACGTTGTAGATGACTGACTGACTTGACAGGCAACCTGTTGGACGAATCAATAATTTAATGAGCTACTTACATTGTAAATGGAATCTATCTAAATCACAAATTGATATCATATATCAGGTAATTGCATTTTTCTAGCGCTTCTCAACAAATATTAGTACATGTTCGCCTACATTTACAGTTAACTTCATTTTATTTTTCTCGATATTTTGGAAACATTTTCACTTAATTTATTTACCAGAGATGAAAACAAAATCAGTGGAAAAAAATCTTATCAGAATGTTATTAAATCGATATGAACAATTTGGTGTAATTGGACGACCAGTAAATGACAGCAAAATTAAAGTTGATGTTCGTTATGGATTACAACTTTTCCAAATTTTGGATTTAGATGAAAATAAACAAATTTTACGAACTAATTGTTGGTCGATGTATGTAAGTTAAATTTGAAATAATTACCAGATTTGCAGGACTGTCTTAATGAACAGTTGGTAGTGAGGTATATAATTAGTTTGTTGTGGATTTCTGAAGTTCAAAATAACATAAAATATTATAACAATAACTTAATAAGTTCAACAAGCATAGTAGTCTGTATAAGGCGAAAGGTATGATGAGTTAACAAAACATTATTTCCAACGAATGTTGCATAAGGACATTATGACGATGATGTAACTGGTACTTGATTTCTGTTTTAAGGTATGTCCCCAGTTCGATTGGTCTGCCAAAAAGTAAGAAATTAACACAAAACTTTGGATTCTTCATCATATAAAGTTTATTAGTTTAACGGAAAATGTTTTACTGCTAGAGAATAAATAAACTTGAAATTTTTGATCAAGGTCATGTAATACTCATAACATATTTATCTTATCGATATTTATCAAAATATCTTCAGCTCATCTGTAGTGAGTAGCCAAACGTATTAATAATAAATTAGCAACCAATTATGCTTTGTTCTAGATTTACAGCGGTGAGACAAAAATCCCTGTTTAAATTATGCATAACGTTTTTATACTACTCAAAGTAGTGAACATTTGAAACGGAAATATTTCTCTCACGAATATCGATAAATTGTATCGGAATCCTTGTCCATGGGTGTTAGTCGATAATGAACTGAGAAAATTCATACATATTAAATCTGAACCAAATCACGTTTTCTATTAGTTTCCTCACAAAAAAACCAATTGTAACCTAATCAGTGACCTATCCATCCTACACTAAGTCTGAATCCTTTAGCTCTTCATTAAATATATAATCAATCTTCCACAAAGATTTCGTAACTGTGTTACTGAAGTCATATTCATAAATTCCCAGAAATACTAGCCGAATCATGTGTTATATATTTATCTGTACTGTCCAGTCTTTCCTTTTGAATTGAACAACTGATATGGTGCACTCAGTTAATAATAAACGAAGACGAAGTCATCATGCTAGTAGTCATCATAGAAATAGAACATATTATCAGTAAGGCCACACAATGCATAAGCATAGTCCTTGAAGAATGGACTTTAATCTGTGTTAAGTGTTTAGAGAGTTCATCCAAAGTGTACTCAGTTATCTGAAAGTCATGCTTGAATGTTATAATTTTTAAAGAAAATATACCAGTTAACAAATTGAGCTGAGATCTCAACTCCCGAAATTCTCATGAAGTCTTGAAAATTTATCCTTCTGAGCTAAAATATGGAGATGTTTTCTTGAGGAGACTCGTTTGAATGAACAGATTTGTGCTTCTTAAGTTACTTAAATGGCAAATAGAATTTGACTTGCAGTGCCATTTTCCAAGGTTATAGTATGGAACGTCATCTATTCTTTATTCAGCTTCAGATTATTTTGACTAACATGATTTTTATGCACTTCACACAGTTCAAATAGAAAGCGATAACCCATTCTAGAACGATATTATTGTTGTCACTCGTATTATTACAAATATACTTTACTTCTGGTAAGCTGACAGCTAGTGAGGTATCGTAGATCACAATAGAAGCACAAAACTTAATCTACCAACTTTATTTTACATTCACTTATAAGTTTTTTGTTTATTCAACTTAATAATAATTTACTTTTATGATTAGATTACTTATTAGTAGTACTAAAATGACAATAATAATTTGTTTTAGAAATGGACAGATTCTCTTCTTCGTTGGAATGAAAGTGATTACGGAAATATCAAAACAGTTCGAATATTCCCTTCACAGATTTGGACGCCGGATATCAAACTGTATAATTTGTAAGAATATTTATTGGTTCTATTTTTATTATGATAGTAGGTGAAGAGAAGACATTGAATATAAAATCAATTAGTTAAAATTATTTAATTGTTATTACCAAGTATATTCTCAGAACAACTTATGGAGCTTATTTTACTCCATTATAAGATGAGTAACCTTGTCTAATCAATGAATATCTCATTTTCCAAGGAAGTCATTTTAACTCGAAATTCTTACTGACATACATTTTAAATATTCAGCTTATTTATGCTTATCATATGATCTTTAAGAAAAAAAGACAGTCTATAAAAATTCATTTCTAAATTAAAACAAATTTAGTTTAAATATGATTTTGTAAAGTTATTTATTGACTATGTTTGCTCTTGTATTTTAATTTAACGATTTCGAAATACTATGGTGAAGTTTCATATACATGACTATTGTTCATTGATTGAGTGACTATATGTTCGGAAATTGTATTTGATAGTCGTTATTCAATGTTTCATTTAGTATCAACAGGCGAGTTAGTTTATTGTGATCCTGCTATTTCAGTTACTGATATAACTAAATATTAAATTTAATGATATATTTGTGATAGCCCAATGAATAGAAATTAGGACTTCCCATGTTTCATAACTCAATGTAGTCCATTTCTTCGGAATAAATAAATAACCATAATAAATTAAAACAGGTATAAATCGTATCAGAGAATAAGGTAGAATATTTAGTTCAGTAAAAATCAAACTAGATCAAGATGATTCCATGAAAGACACTACTGTGTAGATTTTCGTGTATTCTGCTAGGTAAGAAAAATGCTGTAAATAAGGATATTAATGCTGTGTAACAGAAAACAAGTTATAAATATTAAAAGTTTTGATTTATATATCAGTTTCGTTATGGTTTAGTCGGTAGATATTCAGAATATTTTTTCTTTCTGTTAAAGTGACATATTCAGGGAGAAGTCTCTTGTGAGGATGCAACATTAGACGGTTCAATTATTATTTTTCACATCTGTTTACATATCAGTGTTGTTTTTTTATTTTAAGAATAAAATATATATCTATATCCTTTGTGTGTCAGAAACTTTGACTGTGTATTACAGTTAATTTTTATTTACTAGGGTTCAGTTAATTTTACAAATTTCACCCTGCTTTTTTAATAGAGGCTGATCATGCAAGTGTATTTTTAAATGATTGTCCCGAGAAAGAATTTTTTCATTAAAAAAGTCATTAAAAATTTTCAAAATAGTTGCAATAACATTTGGAATGGTACTTGTAATAAACGACTTTTTTAGATGAAATCTTCATTTCTGGAATCTATATGCTTTAAATGTATTTGACAAATCTTTTGTTGACTTGCATGAGTCTATTTATAACATAAATTCTCATTAAACGATCAGGTGGTTAGAATATTGTTTCGTTTTGCATTTGAAGCAACAGATCAAGTTTTAACTTCTTATTTTATTTTGAACTCTGTCAAATAAGTCTTTAGACAATGTATGAGATGAAGCTAATCGAATAGGTTTGAATAGTGTGCGTGTTAAACTAACGAATTTTAACATGATTATGTTATTTTGTCAACAACCATGATAATTATTTGATTGCTAATCTCAGTTTACTTATAGTTAATGGCATATTTTAAAATACTTTATATTCTAGTGCTGATGAACGCTTACGTGAACACAGAGATGCTCGTGTTGTAGTGTCAAGTAACGGAGAAATGTTATGGGTTCCACAAGCACTGTTTAAAAGTACATGTGAAGTTGAAATCACATATTTCCCGTTCGATACACAAGTAATTTTAAACTTATATTATTAATGCTTCTATATTAAATTTGAATAATTGATTTTGCCATTTTGATAATTAGTAATTACAAGTAATGTTTTACGACAACAGAATAGCTATATTATACAACCAACTAGTAGAAGTTGATGAATGCAGATTACTATTTTTAAACTTAGTGACTCAACAAAAACTTATTCTTAATTAACGCTGAAAGTGTTGTTTTCCAATCTTTATATACATGAAAGTTATTCATTATTGTCGCGTCGCATACGAAGATAGGAGAATTAGTAAGTAATGTAGGTTTATTTCGAAAACTACTATTAAATTAAGTAACTCTTTATGGTATTAAGTAGGATAATATGATTTAGTGTATAGAGTTTTCTTGACAGTTTCTTTACATCCATTTACTAAGGTGTTTCAAAATCAATAGTTTCAAGGCGATCTACTCATATTCCAGTTAATCAATATTATTTCCTGTTCTCTGGTTACGTTTGTTTTTTAATGTTTTTGTTTAGTGAAATTGTCATTTCTAATAAATAGTTGTGAACTTGAGAAGTTCTGCTCTATCTAAAAAATTTATCTTCGATTTGGTCACTGTATTATAGATAGTAAACATTTTTGAATATCATTGGTAATAAAAAAAATAATCACTGAGCTTAGTAATATCATTCTTTTTAAATTGAAATATTTTTTTCATAATAATTCGGACACGGAAATATATATCTGTTTTTCATTTTCGGTAACTTTTGTTCGTACCAATGACCCCAAATGACTGTTAAGATGGTACAGGCATTTTTACACCGATTTTAGGTAATCAGAAAACAGGTAGTATTTTCCTACTACCTTGAAGTTGAAGAACATCTTTCCTTGTAAGACATTTGAATGCTGCGAATCTTGTTCTTTCCTGCATTGTACATTTTTCCGAAATACCGTTTCTTCTACTTGAATAAATCTCCCTACTCTATCAACCATAGTGGTCACTACTAAAATTTCAGTGTAGATTTACTTATTATTATAGTAAAAACTCTACACTTTTTTTGAATTTGTCATGTCTTTTAAAGCCACTACAGTGGGTACTGGCGTCCATATAATACAGTGAGATACGAATAACATGGTTTGTCTAGATATAAATTTAGACTGAGTCTAAGAAGGCTTTTTTGCCAGATTGCTGTTGACAACATATATGACAACGACATATCACTTCATCTCGTATGCCTTTGCCAACATTTCATGTCCAGAAGCGACGCGAATATAACTAAAAGCAATTGTGTTTTCACAGCAATCAAAGTGCAGTTAATTTTTTGCTTTGAATTGAAATTATTAAGAAGTTACCAAGTTTTATGAGAGTGTATTTACAATGAATTTAAGCAAGTTTAATAATATTCTTTAATTGATTTTTATACTTAACTCAAGACAGTTGATATTAATATGTCGCAAACTACTTTGACAATCATTAATAACTGACATTGGCCGTCAATTTTATTTGATTTCTATTTTCAGTTGATTGTTAAAGGAATAATAGAAATGATACAAATGAGTAATTATATTAGTTATATTAACAATAATTGAAACATTGATGTCATTTCCAGTCTGTCGTTAATTTCATGCTGTTTAGAGTTGCCTATGATTTTTATGTTTGGTTGATAATTAAAGAAAATGTTTTCGTTTTCAAAACTTCCATAATTACTTTTGAAAGCATCATTACCCAGCTAGGTAATCTATCTATAAAATATGTGCAGTAATTAGGTTGTCTGGTGCAGTGATATGACATTTATGTTCATATTATTGAAAGCACTAGGAGCAATAAATAAATGTCTACTTTACTTCGAGTGAAAAATCATCTCCAATTTTGCATGATTTCCTATACTTTTACAAAACCATTAGAAATAGCATTGATTTAACAGCTTAAATGCGATTCTTATCAACAGCAGTTTCTGTGAAATCATATGACGAAAGGGTATTAAACAGTATATTTTGTTTGAAATGTGGATGTTTGATGAGAATAGCTCTTACTTTATGCAAAGCGGTATCCAGTCTATGTTTTTTTAGATGACACATTGAGCAAGATATAAATAGTAAACTGGATTTAAGCAGTACGGTTCACACATAAAGTTCTAATCGATCCGTGTCATAAAAAAATCCTCACTGAACGTAATCGACGAATTACTTTCTGACGTCAGACTTGATTGATTCTATATGTTACAGTTTTTCATTAAAACCCAGAGAATAAACTGTAATACTTTGATATTGTGATTTACAGATTTGTTTTTTAAAAACAAAACTCAAGTGTAATATTTTTGAATCACATTTTAGGATTACTCAAAATAAAAGAAGCTTGTATTAAATTATTTCATTAGTCTAATACATGTGGATTATTTTATAGATATGTATGCTAGAATTCGGATCTTGGACGTACGATAAAACACAAATGGACATATCATGGTGGATTCCAGATTCACCTCCCATAGAAGAAATGCCATATTTAGATTTCTCAGATTACGTACCAAGTAATGAATGGCGTACGGATGGCGAGAAAGAACGTGAAGTACACCATGTCAACCGTACTATACAAATTCGATCAGTTAAGAAACATCGACGTCGAAGTCAAACTGTTGGTAACGAAGTGATCACAAGAGAATATCCAGTTTTACGATATTTAATACGTTTGAGAAGGAACCCGAGTTTTTATGTATTCATGTTAGTGATTCCATGTGTGTTGTTATCATCTTTAACATTGGTTGTATTTTGGTTGCCTCCAGAATCTCCAGCAAAAATGATGCTTGGTAAGAATAGCAACACATGTACCATTTTGCTGATATTATGACTTCACTGTGACTTACTTTTGTTACCTATTTTAATTAACCTGAGTACTAAATGTTTCTTCCGGGTAGTTTAGACTTTACAGTAAAGTTACTAGGGGAAATTAATACAATATCTTCAAAAAGAATTCCAATAAAATATTCAGGGTTCTTTTAAAATTTATCTTAAAAAGGCGGTATCAAGAAGCTTTGCTTTATGATCTAGAGAATGAATGTGTTGTCACCATAAATTTTCATATGAAAAGATGAATTAGTTTAAGTCATTCCTTTGATATGAATGTAACTCACATTTTATTTTAAAATTAATCTATGAGGTATTTCAAAATATCAGATTGTTCTATTCGTTAGTCCAGTACTCCCAATCTGTATATCTTAACAAAGGTTTACTTTCTACTTTCACTGATGAAATGAGTATTAGTTCCTACGATTTAACCATTGACACATTCTGTATTTAGCCTTGAAAATATTTTATTAAGATATCATTTTGCTATTATTAGATCATATGGCATAGCAACAGTTACAAACATATATATGTATCTTTCATGATATTTTTTCTCCATAAGTCCTTTAAATTTAATAAGTCTATTTCATTGTGTTTTTTGGTAAATATTTCGATTTTTTATTCAAATCAGGTATGAATATATTTGTTGCATTTTTCGTTTTACTCTTACTGTTGGCTGAGTCAACACCTAGTGCTGTGAAAAATTTCCCACTAATTGGTACGTTTATTCACTTATTTACTTTACTTAATACAAAATGTTACTATTTAAAAAGAATATCACTTATTTGAGTTTACTGGATATTTAAATAATAAGTACTAAGTGAAGATATAAATGATTATATCATATGGAATGAAATATTTCATTGCTACCTTTAGTAGTGATATAAAATAATACAATAGAACAGACCGATGAACTACATTCAAGTAATATGAATAGTAATACTTAGGATCATCCAACAACACAAGGATTTTTATTACATATATGTTAGTAGTAAATTGTAACACAATACATGTTATACAAATATCCAAATGGTTAGTGTCATTAGGTAATTCTGACAAGAAGCTATCTATTAACATTTTAACAGGATCATCTACTTTCCGAAATGATATAAATACAGTTACTTCCCACTAAATAATAATAAATTTTCCAATGTTTAAAGTTTACTCCAAATAACAAAGATAGTTTTTTTTGATTAATATTTCTTCAACTTTAGGAGTGTATTTTTGTTTGAATATGATTATGATCACACTGTCCACTTTCTTGGCAACTTTGGTGATTCACCTTTATTTTCGAGGCGATCGTAATGGATCAGTCCCATATGTTTTGAGAAAAGTACGTGTCTTTGTAAATAGTTTCGTATAATTAAATAAAAATACTGTATATAAGTATCAACGTTAAGGTTGGACTTAATAGCTTCAAATAAATTGAACATTGGGTAGAAAGTTAATAATAAATATTTTTTATATCCCAACGAGTAAAAAATTGTATTTCTGACGTTTTGTGACTTGGTGTAAGCCACTTCTTGGGAGTGGATAAATAACCGAATTACCACAGTTTGTGTGTATTTAAAACAAGTTCGAGTCCGGCGTGTGGCGATCGTGGATGCTCAGCGCTGAGGAGTCCTACACTAGGACGAAACAACCGTCCAGTGCTTCCAGGTTTTCAGTGATGGTCTGGCTTAGATCGAGGCGTGAATTTGAGTGTTAAAATAAATAAAGACCACTTAAACATATTTACTTAGTTTAAAGACACAATGTCAAATTATGTAAAATGGTAGGTAATGCTTATCAATAATCTGATAATCAGTTGTACGAATAATTTAAATTTTGATCTTACTTATTCTCTATACCAAATACGGAAAATATGATTATTAGAAAAGTATAGCATTGAAAGATAATATTTATATTTTAGACTTAGCATAACTATACAACTAATTGAGTCATTAGTTATGACAATTTGTTATTGTAAATTAAGTCTAGGAAAAAAACTTAATAAAGCGCTAATAATTTTTCTTATGTTTAACATAATTACGTGCTATGTACTTTAGATGTTCCTTGATATTTCAAGTTAAATCGCATCACAATCTGTTGTTGATAAACTGAGTGATCAAGATGATTGTGTAAATGTTTTTAATAATTTAGATACTGATATATATATAATAATAAAACTATGTAATCAGGTTTATTTGACATAGGTGGAAATACTGATTAACTAGTTAAGTAGATTACTAAGTTTGATATGTTTCATATTCAAAAAAGATTCTATATTTTCCCTGATTTTTCAGATTATTATAGAGGGTATTGGACGACTCACATTAGTACGGCAGCGAATTCCTCTACCAGAAATGAAAAAACCAATTAGGCCGGCAATAATAAAACCTCACAAAAAGATTCAAATTCCAGGTATGTCACCCAATAAAATTCCAACAAATGAAGAAACATACTGTGAGAATGAACGTATTAGACATTTTGGAGGTGGGGCATTTCAACAATGCAATATGATTGGTAGTAATTTTTTGTATGGAGAAGAGCAATTAGGAGGAGCTGCTAGTAATTGGTTTGCTCCAAATGAACGTCGTTCTGTCCCAAGATACCCTAATCAATTCGATTCTTATCCAATGGCCACACCAATCAATAATATATCTCATATACCGGGAAGTGCAGGAAAATCATCAGAAAATGAGCCAGATAATGCAGTTAATCATGATGAATCCCCATCAGTTCTAAGTTCAACCACTACACTGGAGCGTGATGTGAGAGAGTTGAAAAAATATGTCAAAATGTTAGTTAACCGACAAAAGGAAACAGCTCGTAAAAGTTTAGTGGCTATGGAATGGCGCACTTTGGCTATTGTCTTGGATCGTTTATTTTTCTTTATTTACATTACCACCATAGTAATTGCAGTAGTTGTTTCAGTACCACGAAGTACTGAACCAGAAGTTCCACCAGCATTTCGCGATGATTAAAACTGTTGACTATATCAAGAGATACTAATGAACGACTTTTTGCTCAGAAAAAAAATTTGATGAAATTGAATAAAAACATAATTAGTTAATATATTTTTATTTTCTAGATCTCTTGGCTAGCAAAACAATATTCATGTGTTTTTTTTTCATTCTTAATAACTGTCAATAATTTGTTTCTTTGACATACAATTATTGTACGAACAAATTTCAAACATGAAAGGAGATACTGTTTACAAGTTTCGAATTATCATTTTCACTAAGCATCACTGTTTAAAGTAGAATAATCTTTTTCCATTAGATTCTTTAACATATTGTGTAATGCATAAATTTTTCTCTTATTTATAAAATTTCATCACAATCTCTTCCAGTTTTACTGTTCATATACATGAATCGTCTTTGGTTTGATAATCCATATTCATTCTTTTTGTTTTTAAACTGTTATATATTTCATTTGTGTATAAGCTTCAATAACTCTCCATACAATATGATACAGGAAGACATTTCAATAGATGTTTTCATGAATTGTTTGTTGATCAATTTTACTATTGTAGGGAATGATTACAAAATGCACATATTCAGTTCAGCGTACACAAAGAAATGTTTGTTTTTTTTTAAAAAAATATTTCGTTTTAATTTAATTGTGTTTGTCTTCTTTTGAAATGATAAACTCATTCTTTATTAGTAAATACTTATCTTGTTCAACAATAGGTTTTATATTTATGATAGAATAAGGAACTTGATGAAGTTACATTTATTAATTATAAATAAATACTTTTCTCATCAATTTAATTTTTTTTTCAAGAAATTTTCTTTTATCATACGTAAAATGGACGAATCTGAAAGGTTGTTTGCTATATTGATGATAAAATTTATGATTTTAATACAAATGATATGGCGTAAAGGTAATGAATGATACCACTACATCTGTCATTTAATGTAGAAGACTATTTCACATTAAAGTAAAAATAAAATAACGATGAATTTCTTTTTGGTATATTCTTGAAAACTACATGGTTTTGGTTAAAATAGTTCAAAGAATATGTAGTTTAATATTTATTGAAATGATCAAGTTTTTATACTATTAAACGGTGAAAGTATTTTTAATGTTTGTGATAGATTAATTTTAAAAAATACATTGAATATCCGGAAAAGTATAAAGATTTGTGGAAGAGTAAGACTTTAGTATTGATTTTTAAATTATTCGGTGAACCAAGCTGAGTGATGCCGATTAAGCTCCAGTAGAAGCATCCTTCTATTCGTCTATAATAAAACCTAGATCGATGGCTTCTTCCGGATGTATTTAATCAATTAGCAGGAATAAACAGATCTTTTAGTTCTTCTTTTGTGATATTGTCAAAACTGGACTAATAAACCTCATCAGGTTGCATACAAACCTTTTGTCTTGGTTGATTCTAAGGTATTGTTCTATCTTACTTACTTACTTACTTACGCCTGTTACTCCCAATGGAGCATAGGCCGCAGACCAGCATTCTCCAACCCACTCTGAACTGGGCCTTCTTTTCTAGTTCCATCCAATTCTTGCTCATTTTTCTCATGTCTATCTCCATTTTCCAGCGTAATGTGTTCTTCGGTCTTCCTCTTTTCCTTTGATCTTCAGGATTCCATGTGAGGGCTTGTCTTGTGACGCAGTTGGGTGCTTTCCTCAATGTGTGTCCTATCCACTTCCAGCACTTCTTCCTGATTTCTTCCTTCTCCGGGATCTGGTTTGTTCTCTCCCACAGTACGTTGTTGCTAATAGTGTCCGGCCAATGGATCTGAAGTATTTTGCGTAGACGGCTGTTAATAAACACTTGTATCTTCTGGATGATGGCTTTCGTAGTTCTCCAGGTTTCCGCCATAGTAGACAGTAGAACTGTTTTGACATTTGTATTGAAGATTCTGACTTTGGTGTTGGTTGACAGTTGTTTTGAGTTACAGATATTCTTCAGTTGTAGATATGCTGCTCTTTCTTTACCGATCCGTGCCTTCACATCTGCATCAGATCCACCGTATTCATCAATGATGCTGCCCAAATATGTAAGGGTTTTTACATCTTCCAAATCTTCTCCGTTAAGTGTGATTGGATTGGTGCATTCTGTGATGTATCGGAGAATCCTGCTTTTCCCTTTGTGTATATTGAGACCTATTGCTGATGAGGCTGCTGCCACACTGTTCGTCTTCTCCTGCATCTGTTGTTGCGTTTGGGATAGAAGGGCCAGATCGTCTGCGAAGTCTAGATCATCCAACTGCATCTTAGATGTCCATTGTATCCCGCGCTTCCCTTCAGACGTTGACGTCTTCATGATCCAGTCGATCAGCAGGAGAAAGGGAAAGGGTGAGAGTGAGCAACATTGCCTAACACCGGTCTTCACTTCGAACGACTTTGTCAACTGTCCTCCATGCACGATTTTGCAGTGTAATCCATAATATGAGTTCTGTATGATATTAACTATCTTCTGAGGCACGCCGTAGTGTCGAAGAAGTTTCCATAGTGTTGTTCTGTCCACGCTGTCAAATGCCTTTTCGTAGTCAATGAAGTTGATGTAGAGTGATGAATTCCACAATGATCCGTAGAGTTGCTATTTGGTCTGTACACGATCTATCCTTACGGAATCCTGCCTGTTGGTCTCGAAGTTGGGCGTCTACGCAGTCCTTCATTCTGTTTAACAATACCCTGTTGAAGACTTTTCCCAGTATTGAGAGAAGAGTGATGTCCCTGTAGTTATCACACTTGCTGAGATCTCCTTTCTTCGATATTTTGATCAGGAGTCCTTCTTTCTAGTGTTTCGGTACTTGTTTCTCATCCCAAATCTTATTGAGAATGTGGAGTATCCTTGCGGTTAACGCTACGTCTGCTTTTAGTGCCTGTGCTGGGATGTTGTCCGGTCCTGCTGCTATGCCACTCTTGATTTGTCTGATGGCCATGTTGATTTCTTCAATTGTTGGTAGGCCAACATTGATTGGGAGGTCCGTGGGTGCTGCTTCGATGTTGGGTGGGTTCAGTGGAGCTGGTCGATTCAAGAGTTCTTTGAAGTGTTCTACCCACCTGTTTTGTTGCTCTTCAATGTTGTGGATTACCTCACCTTCCTTGCTTTTCACTGGTCGTTCTGCTTTGCGGCGATTTCCAGAGAGTTTCTTTGTCGTGTCATACAATTGTCTCATGTTTCCTTCTCTTGCAGCCTTTTCCGCCGTCGTTGCTAAATCTTCCACATATTTACGTTTGTCGGTTCTGATGCTCCTCTTCACTTGTTTGTTTATTTCCGTGTATTCAGCTTGTGCCTTGGCTTTTTCTGCTCTTGTTCGGCTGGTATTGATCGCTGTCTTCTTGTTTCTTCTTTCTTGAATCTTATCCAGTGTATCAACAGTGATCTATTCCTTGTGGTGGTGCTTCTTGTGACCCAGAACCTCATGACATGTTGAAGTGATTGCTTCTTTGATCTTCTTCCAGTTGCTCTCCACAGTAGTTCCGGATTGCTAAGAAGCCCAGCTAAAAGGTCACAAATGATTATTAGTACTGACAAGTTATAGATAAGTAAAATGACGTAAAATGTCTCACTAGCTAATCATGCATATATATATATATAAAGAGGAAAGGATGTTTACTTTTAAGAAAGCAAATGTTAGATGAATAAAGGTTTACAACGTGTATCAATTGAGTAAAATAGTACTTTAATCTTATACAGAAAACAGTCAGATTGTATGTTTGTATTGGATAGTAGAAGTATATTTTCAAAATGATTGATGTAATTTAGATAGATAATAAGTCGTATTTTGTTATTTATTAATGATTTGAATTGATGATTTTTCTGACCTTAACAAATTCAACTATTCTTTACAGTTCATATCGGTCTTAGGAATGGCATGTTATTCAAATAACGTGATTGTACAATCGAAATATTTTACCGAGAAAATTGTAGTCATTCTATAAAGTTCCAATTTACACTAGTTTTGCAATACAATTGGTTATAATTGATAATACTGTTAGCATATATCTAAACAAGTTGAGAAATATAACTGGACTAGCTGTTTGCCATTAATCTCTGTTAAGTTCAGAAATTTATTGATCTGATTATATACTTTCACCTAAAAAAACGTAAGCAAATTTAAGAATGTTTATTAAGTATAATTCACATAAACAGTCGGTGCTTTAAAGTTATTTGTGGGTACAAACATAAACAATTATTTTCTGTTTAAAAAAGTGGCAAGAAATAAAGAAAGATAATGCAACTGTAGTAAAAACAGGTAGTTTTATTCACGTATTATATGACGAAACAGGATACAGGGCAATATTTATCCGTATTTCTTATTTAAAATTAGTTCTGTAGAACTATCCCTATACCTTTAAAAGTACCAATGTCATTCATTTCAGCAATCTGATAAATAGGACCTACGTCTTTTGAAATCACATGATATTTTGCGCGCTACCTATGACTTCTTTTAATGGGCCCTTTATTTTGTCGTTATTTAGATTGGATGATGTTGTTGACCGGCTCTCCACTTCAGGGGCCCGGAATCTGACTCCAATTTGATCGTATGAATGATTGTTATTGAAATGCATATGTCGCCTATCCTCGTATATAATCATCGACGTAAATCGCGTCAGTCAATAACGGAATTAAATACGTCGAATAACAAGAATGGACTTTGGAACACATATATTTTGTATATGGAGCGAATGGAATAAAGCGAAGCGAAACGACACGCAGTGGAGATGGCAAGTAAGCCAACTCCGTTTAGTCAAGCGTTAATCAATATTTATAGTCACACAAAATTAAGCTACAGACATGTGATGAATGGGATATGAAATCTATACACACATACGCTCATATAAAAACAGCCAAGATTGATAAGCGGATAATTAATAAGGTCAAAATGTAACTCAAGTAGAACGAATAAATTGGCCTGTACGAAAGCTGGAATAAGGTATATGAGCTTAACAAAATAACCGACACTACATTCTGATCACTTGTCGATTTAAATGAAAACACATACAACTCTTGGTTGAAAGGTTCTGAGAAGCTTCAGAGTGCTTTTGTTTATCTATAAATGCTATGCGCAACTTACCAGATTTACCTGTGTTGCAACACAGAACATTTAAATGAATCCAAGTTATTCTCCTGTTTACCAGACCGGTTCTATCGTGACTACTAGATTAAGTTTGGAAATTTCTTTACTAGCAACTACTAAAAACACTGTTAGTTAGTCTGAGAAACCACGTGATCGATACGTCTTAACTTCCATATGATATAAGGTTTGTTATGACTCTATGTCCGGCTTTTTATCACGTGATTTATCCACTAATCAAAATACGATTTATACGATCTTCGCACTGTGCCAAAACTAATGACATTCGACCGGTATGACCAGTCTAGCGTCCTTATTGGTCCTATGTCCGCCTAGCCCGTCCACTTGAGTCCAGAACATGAAATACCAGCTTTCAATATGCGAATCGAATAATTTATTTCAGACATGCTGGGTTTATATATCAACCAAACAGACCGCAACGCACCATAAAATAGGAAATAATATTTGTACACAATAAAGCCGAAAAGTGACTGTAAACGTGGGAGGCAGTAGTCAATAAACTGAACATAGCTTCAGAATTGTAAATCGTACAATAATAAATTATCGGTCAAAATAAAGCTTATAATAAGAGTAATATAAATATACATAATCTAATTATTGAATAGTTATACCATAAGGATGTATAGATAATACAGTCAATTGATATGTCTCAGAAGTTACTCGTGATATAACAAGGTTAGTAACAATGATTGGTGTCAA